GTCTAGGATGACAAGGCAAAGCTCGTTGTCAGGCTCAGTCTAGGATGACAAATGAAAGCTCGTTGTCAGGTTTAATCTAGGATAAGAAGGCAAATGTCGTTGTCAGGTTTAATCTAGGATGACAAGGCAAAGCTCGTTGTCAGGCTCAGTCTAGGATGACAAATGAAAGCTCGTTGTCAGGCTTAATCTGGGATAAGAAGGCAAAGCTCGTTGTCAGGTTTAATCTAGGATAACCAACCAAAGGCCGTTTTCAGGTTTAATCTGGGATAACAAGGCAAATGTCGTTATCAAGCTTGATCAGGGAAAAAGAAACCAAAGTTCGTTGTCAGATCAGTCCATTGTCAGTTTGATCCTGGATAGGAAAACAAGGGCGTTGTCTGCCTTACTATAGGATAACAAACCTATCATTGCCAGATCTGATCTTGGATAACAAAGCAATGGCCGTTGTCAGGCTCAATCAAGGACGACAAACGAAAGGTCGTTGTCAGGTTTAATCTAGGACAACAAGGCAAAGATCGCTATTAAGCTTGATCCCGGAAAAGAAACCAAATGTCATTGTCAGATCCGATCTTGGATAACAAGGCAATGGTCGTTGTCAGGCTCAATCTAGGATAATAATGCAAAAGTCGTTGTCAGGTTTAATCTAGGACAACAAGGCAAAGATCCCTATTTAGCTTGATTTGGGAAAAGAAACCAAATGTCATTGTCAGATCCGATCTTGGATAAGAAGGCAATGGTCGTTGTCAGGTATAATCTAGGATAAAAAGGCAAACGTCTTTATCAAGCTTGATCTGGGAAAAGAAACCAAAGTTTGTTGTCAGGTCCACTCTTGGATAACCAACCAAAAGGTCGTCGTCAGGCTTAATCTGGGATAGCAAGGCAAAGGTCGTTATCAAGTTCGATCAGGAAAAAAACCAAAGTTCGTTGTCAGATCCGGTCATTGTTAGTTCTGATCTTGGATAACAAACCAACTGTCGTTGTCTGCCTTAAATTAAGATAGCAAGACAACGGTCGTCATTAAGCTTGATCTGGGAAAACAAATGTCGTTGTCAGATCTGATCTAGGATAACAAACCAAATGTAGTTGTCAGACTTTATCTGAAATACCAAAGGGTCATTATCGGATCTGACCGAGAATAACAAATGAACGACCTGATCTAGGGTAATAAATACAGGTCAGGAATTCAAACCCATAAAATTTTGTTGACCGGAATATAGACGTATAGATCATATTCTCTGTCAATAGGAAGCATTATTTGCCCACAATAACCTACTACCTTAGAAGTTCCGGATGAATAATATTATTCAGAGTTCGTATTGGTGAACCTGTAATAGTCCGCTCGTTATTACCTTCTGGACAATACATCAATAACCCAGACAAATCTTGAACAGAAAGTCAGGGTTCTGCTGGTGACAGATTGAGCATGACTCGATATAGTCCATGCATCAGGCACAAGTACAAAGAATGAATGTACTTTGTAAGTAGACTCTCCCACCAATACTCTTGTTATTCACCAACGGCCCTCAGCAACAAGCAAGCTGGTGATACTTGTCCTTCTGAAGGTCTTGGGAAGGTGAGATGTTCTCCCTAGTTCTGTGTATTTGGTATAGTCCTGGAGTTATTTAGAAGGGAATTATGTTCTTATTGATAAACCTTTATCCAAATTCAGTACCTAATTTACATTTGATATTTCGTAGATATTTAACTGTGCTAAGGTAAAGTTACTCTGTAACATCAAATACTTCAAGAAGGTATGAGATGTTCTCCCTAGTTCTGTGTATTTGGTATAGTCCTGGCGCTATTTAGAAGGGAATTATGTTCTTATTGATAAACCTTTATCCAGACTCAGTATCTAATTTACATTTGATATTTCACATATATTCAATTGTGTTAAGGTAAAGTTACTCTGTAACATCATATACTTCAAGAAGGTATGAGATGGTCTCCCAAGTTCTGTGTATTTTGTATACTGATGTTATTAAGATAGACGGGGCGGTCGGGCAGCCAATGGTTAAAGCGTTCGCTCCTCACGTCGAAGGCCCGGGTTCGATTCCCCACATGGGTACAATTTGTGAAGCCCATTGCTGGTGTCCCCCGCCGTGATATTACTGGAATATTGCTAAAAACGGCGTAAAACCATACTCAGTCAGTCAGTATTAAGATAAACATTAGATTCTTATTGACGTAAATTTGTCTATAAGTATACTCTCCCAAAAAAGAAACGCATATAGGAATTTCAACTGTATTTTTATGTTTAGTTTGAAACATCTTGTAGGCTTTATGAGTCAATGAAATATAGCGAAATCGCACACTGGGAATGCAGACTTATCCGTCTTTGGCACTAACTCGAGGAAAGTCAGTTTGAGTGTCACATGGAGACGTGTAGTAGCGCTGAAGTCAATACCTCGTGTGACCACCGTGGGCATCCAGAACTGCACGGCATCGCCTCGGCATCGAACGAATAAGTCTCAGAATCACGTGTTGCCCAATCGCAGCCCACTCTGCCTGTAGTGCCTGTGCGAGTTGCTGAAGTGTCTGGGGCTGAGGGTTACGGCGTCGCACCCGTCTGTCCAGGGCATCCCACAGATGTTAGATCGGGTTTAAGTCCGGTGATCTTGAGGGCCAGGCTAGCACATTGATGATGTGGTTCTGGAGGAAGTCTCTAGAGTGACGTGCTGTGTGGGGCCTGGCATTGTCCTGTTGAAACAACTCCCTCTGGCGATCAATGATTGGAAGGAGGTGTGGGCGTAGGATTTCATCACAGGTTGTCACAGGCTGTCAGGTTGCCCTGGATCATCGCCAAATCACTTCTCCCACGGCAGGTGATCGTTCCCCACATAATAACACTGCCCCGGCCGAATCTGTCCACCTGGGGAACGCAAGCGTCGGCGAAACGTTCACGTTGACGTCTGTACACCCGCATTCTGCCATCGCGTCGTTCCAATAGAAATCGTGATTCATCACTGAACCAGATTCTACGCCAATGCGGTAGGTTCCAGGCCTGAACGTTGGTGCACCATTGAACTCGATGTCGACGATGTTGTTGTCGAAGCACAGGGCTAAAATAAGGTCTTCTGGCACGTAAACCAGCCTCTCTCAACCTGTTCCTGACGGTCTGTGCAGAAAGCCTCCTCAACCCGGGTATTTGTCGAGTGGTACTGGTCGCCGTAGCTGTTCGATGACGCAGGTGATGTACCCGGATGTAGCGATCCTGCGCCGCACTGGTCGCTCGAGGTCGCCCACTACGAGGGGCATCTGCTACCGCATTCTGCCGGCGATATCTCTCCCAGAGCCGTGAAATGGTGCTTTGGTGAACATTCATGCGTCGGGCAACTGTACGTTGAGACTGGCCAGCTTCAAGCAAACCAATGGCGATATGACGGTTGGCTTCACATAGACATGGCATTTTGCGTTCGTCAACAATATTCCAAATACAGTGAATAATCGACAGACAGCGATCAACCTTTTATACCCATCATTGAGACTATCTGATCCCCAACTTTCACGTGCATTGCATGTGAATTGTGTATTCTGTGACACTACACGCCGAAATTGAAAATCATGCTGGTAAATACGGGTATGTTACAGATGGTGCGTTTTGTTGTGATGTTTCAAAACATAGGACTCATAAACAGAGCAAAACCTTTTGTAAAATAAATCACGTTTTAATTCATTGCTACATGAAATTGCTATTTTCATGATGCGTTTCTTTTTGGGGAGAGTATATTTAATTCATATTTGACATTTCACATATATTTAATTGTGCTGTGATAAGATTCCGTTTTAAACGCCACTGTATTTCAGGAAGGAAGGAATGTTTCGTACAGTGTCTGATGACATTATGACTTCATGCTATTTTCATGTGCCTTTATGACATAATATGCACCGCCTCATCATTAATTCCATTGGTCAGTTTCATGACTGAGTGAGAAGTGAGTTCTTGGGGTTTGTTAGTTGTGATGCTTCTGGCAATGTTAACGCAATGTCAGAGCGAGGTATACCAGGAATTGTCTCCACAAATTGAAGACGAACCGGACCATTTAAGGTGATGTAAAACGGTCTAGAAGCTTGTTCTATTGGTCTCGAAGAAACTGTTTCAGAAATAACCAGGAATGTGTGTGAAATATTATAAGATGTAGGAAAGTCCCAACTGAACGAGGTCGCTGGAAGGGTTTGTCTTTGTGAAACGTGTAACAAATCTTAAATTTGAACCTATGATTATCAGTGCCTTGCGTTGTATAAGAGGCGACTAACTTGCGTACTAGCTTGTCGACCTTACAGTGTTACAAGTGACTTACAAGCGACTTACACTGAAATGGCTGGTTAAGCTTACTGAGTGAGCGAGTCTGTTTGGTTTTACCCCGCTTTTAGCAATATTCCAGCAATATCACGGCGGGGGACACCATAAATGGGCTTCACACATTGTACCTATGTGTGTGTGTGTGGTGTGGGTGTGAATCCGAGTATTCGGTTTGACGAGCGAACGCTTTAACCACTAGCCTACCCAACCGCCCGGTTAGGCTTACTGAACATTGTGTAAGTGGCGACTGACATGCGATCACAGTTTCTTTGCGAATTGTTTCTTTGACCTAACCAGATGTAAGTTCTTTGTATTGTATTGTATTGTTTTGTATTGTATTGTATTGTATTGTATTGTATTGTATTGTATTTCTTTCAATGTACGTTTCAATGGTGCAATCCCATGTATCGGATTTGCTCATCTTCTCCTTGGAGGTGAATTCTTGTTATTGTTTCTCATTTTCTATATTTCAGAATGTTTTTTGTTTGTTTGTTGTTTAACGCCGCACTCAGCAATATTCAAGCTATATGGCGGCGGTTTGTAAATAATCGAGTCTGCACCAGGCAACCCAGTGATCAACAGCATGAACATCGATCAATTGGGATACGATGGAATGACCATCCTATCACGTTAGACGCCTCTTACGACAAGCATTCATTGCTGAACAATTCTAACCCGGATCTGCACGGGTATATTTCAGAATGAGCGTACCCACCACGTGTGCAGCTTTGCTTGTTGCTGTCGTGGCAACGAGTGTAATCTGCCAGGATCCCCCTGAACTGAGCCGATTGGATGGTGAGTTTCCCAATTTCTATCTGGTAGTAGACTAGAAATTGGAATGCTGACATGACATGAATCTATAGTCATACGAATTTCGCATATTTAAGTAATTGTTACAGTTTCAAAACTTATTCTAATCGCTTAGTATTTAGACTTTCACGTCAAGGTAAGATATTATTGACGTTAAGTGAGGCAGAACCTAGGAAACTTCGTTCTTCGTTTCCGGAAAATGACATTCGGCTTCTTTATGTCACGGAGCGATATGAACGGCCACATTGAACTACCTGACGTTACTAACTAAGAATCATCTCCTATCGATAAATAGCGGCTGAATCACCTTCGTTCCTTGCTGTATAGCTAGAAATATGTATCCTAAGCAAAAACGCAAACCATCCAATCTCAACAAACAGCTACAACCTACTTCGCTGCTTGAGTAATTTGACGTAAGTAACTCAGCCATTTCTACTTAATCAATATATATAAGAATCTTACCTTACCTTGATGAATAACTATAGCCTTCCCACCTTGATGAATAACTATAGCAACCTCGCCTTGATGAATGACTATAGCCACCTTACATTAATGAATAACTATAGCAACCTCACCTAGATAAATAAATATAACAACCTCACCTTGATGAATAACTATAACAACCTCACCTTGATGAATAACTATAGCCACCTTACATTAATGAATAACTATAGCAACCTCACCTTGATAAATGACTATAGCCACCTTACATTAATGAATAACTATAGCAACCTCACCTAGATAAATAAATATAACAACCTCGCCTTGATGAATAACTATAGCCACCTTACATTAATGAATAACTATAGCAACCTCGCCTTGATGAATGACTATAGCCACCTTACATTAATGAATAACTATAGCAACCTCGCCTTGATGAATGACTATAGCCACCTTACATTAATGAATAACTATAGCAACCTCGCCTTGATGAATAACTATAGCCACCTTACATTAATGAATAACTATAGCAACCTCACCTAGATAAATAAATATAACAACCTCGCCTTGATGAATAACTATAGCCACCTTACATTAATGAATAACTATAGCAACCTCGCCTTGATGAATGACTATAGCCACCTTACATTAATGAATAACTATAGCAACCTCGCCTTGATGAATAACTATAGCCACCTTACATTAATGAATAACTATAGCAACCTCACCTTGATAAATAAATATAACAACCTCACCTTGATGAATAACTATAGCCATCTCACCTTGATGAATAACTATAGCCACCTCACCTTGATGAATAACTATAGTAACCTCACCTTGATGAATAACTATAGCCACCTTACCTTGATGAATAACTATACCCACCTTACCTTGATGAAGAACTATAGCCACTTTACTTTGATGAATAACTATAGCCACCTTACCTTGATGAATAACTATAGCAACCTCACCTTGATGAATAACTATAGCCATCTCACCTTGATGAATAACTATAGCCACCTCACCTTGATGAATAACTATAGCAACCTCACCTTGATGAATAACTATAACCAATTCACCTTGATGAATAACTATAGTAACCTCACCTTGATGAATAACTATAGCCACCTTACCTTGATGAATAACTATACCCACCTTACCTTGATGAAGAACTATAGCCACTTTACTTTGATGAATAACTATAGCCACCTTACCTTGATGAATAACTATAGCAACCTCACCTTGATAAATAACTATAGCCACTTTACCTTGATGAATAACTATAGCCACCTTACCTTGATGAATAACTAAAGCCACATCACCTTGATAAATAACTATATCCACCTTACCTTGATAAATAACTATAGCAACCTCACCTTGATAATGACTATAGCCACTTCACCTTGATGAATAACTATAGCAACCTCACCTTGATAATTACTATAGCCACTTCACCTTGATGAATAACTATAGCAAACTCACCTTGATAAATAACTATAGCCACTTCACCTTGATGAATAACTATAGCCACCTCACCTTGATGAATAACTATAGCCACCTCACCTTGATAAATAACTATAGCCACCTTACCTTGATGAATAACTATAGCCACCTCACCTTGATGAATAACTATAGCCATCTCACCTTGATAAATAACTATAGCCACTTCACCTTGATGAATAACTATAGCCACCTTACCTTGATGAATAACTATAGCCACCTCACCTTGATAAATAACTATAGCCACCTCACCGTGATAAATAACTATAGCCACTTTAGCTTGATGAATAACTATAGCACTTTACATTGATAAATAACTATAGCCACTTCACCTTGATAAATAACTATAGCCACTTTACCTTGATGAATAACTATAGCCAACTTACCTTGATAAATAACTATAGCCACCTTACCTTGATGAATAACTATAGCCACCTTACCTTGATAAATAACTATAGCCACCTCACCTCGATGAATAACTATAGCCACCTTACCCTGATGAATAACTCTAGCCACCTTACCTTGATGAATAACTATAGCCACCTCACCTTGATGAATAACTATAGCCACCTTACCTTGATGAATAACTCTAGCCACCTTACCTTGATAAATAACTATATCCACTTTACCTTGATGAATAACTCTAGCCACCTTACCTTGATGAATAACTATAGCCTTCCCACCTTGATGAATAACTATAGCCACCTTACCTTGATGAATAACTATAGCCTTCCCACCTTGATGAATAACTATAGCCACCTCACCTTGATGAATAACTATAGTAACCTCACCTTTATGAATAACTATAGCCACCTCAAATTTATGAATAACTATAGCCATCTCACCTTTATGAATAACTATAGCCACCTTACCTTGATGAATAACTATAGCCACCTCACCTTGATGAATAAGTACAGCCACCTCACCTTGATGAATAAATATAGCCACTTTACCTTGATAAATAACTATAGTAACCTCACCTTGATGAATAACTATAGCCACCTTACTTTGGTGAAAAGCTATAGCCACCTTACCTTAATGACTAATTATAGCCACTCACCTTGATGAATAACTATAGCCACTTTACCTTGATGAATAATTGTAGCCACCTAACCTTGATGAATAACTATATCCACCTTACATTGATGAATAACTATAGCCACCTTACCTTAATGACTATTTATAGCCACTCACCTTGATGAATAACTATAGCCACCTTACCTTGATGAATAAGTATGGCCACCTTACATTGAAGAATCAATTTAGCTGCCTTACCTTAATGAAAAGATGTAAGCATCTTACCTCACCTTGATGAATAACTATAGAAATCTCACCTAGAAGAATAGTTGAAACATCTCACCTTGATGAATAACTATAGTCACCTCAAATTGATGAATAGATGTAAGCATCTTACCTTGATAAATATCTCACAACCTGATTTGTCTATTATAAGCCTATGTGTTCCAGTCTTCGTTCCGGCCACTCTAAGTGAAGACAAACAGATATGTTACCTTGCTGATGGAACTGCCTACGATCGTCATACCCGGTTTTCAGTCCCCGATATACAGCCCTGTGTGTTCCTCAAGTGTACCATGGGTGGACCCCAGGTGTTTTGGAGTCAAAGCGGTACGTGTCAAACACCCGAGTAGTTGGTAGACAGTTATTTTACATGTCGATTTTAAATAATAGATTCCTCACATGGGCACACTGTGTGAAGCCCATTTATGTTGTCCCCAGCTGTGATATTGCTGGAATATTGCTAAAAGCGGCGTAAAACTAAAACTCACTCACTCAGTCACTGGATTGTCCGGTTTAGACAATCATTTTAAGACCGATGTCATAAAGCATGAATATTGTCGAATGGGTCGTTAAACAAAGAAGCAAACAAAGTGAAAAACAAACACATATTGAATCATTGGCAACGCTTCACACATGGAATCCTCTCAAATGATGTCACGGAAAGGAATGATTATCATGTGACATATTCTGAGAGGTTTGTGATATTTTAGGTTGTGAGTACAACGGGGCGTGTGTGCCCATGAAGGACGAGGTGACTGTTGGATGTCGACAGTACAAGTGTTTCGTATACAACCATAAGAGACCCCATGGGACGAGAGTAGGGGCGTCATTATCACCACAACCACAAGGTAACATTGTCACGTCTTTTTTCAGTCTTTGATCGCCCGTGAAGATCCGAATGAGAACTGATCTTCACTAACCCATGCTTGTCGAAAGTGACGGGATCGGTTGGTCAGGCTCGCTGACTTGGTTGACACTTGTAATCGTATCCCACCTGAGGCTCATGAGTTTGATCGCTGGATTGTCTGCTCCCGACTCAATTGTTTACAAAGCGCCGCCATATAGCTAGAATATTGGAGTGCGGCGTAAAACAACCATTCAACTATCTTTCACCAGATATATGTATTTGTACTTATTTATGTCTCCCCATAAGTGTTTGGGTGGTGGGTAGCCGAGATGTTAAAGCGTTCGCTTGTCACGCCAAAGACCCAAAGTTCGATTCCCAACATTTCTGGTGTCCTCCACAGTAATATTGCAGCCATATTACTGAAAGCGGCGTAAAACTAAACTCACTCACTATTACAGATCGTGTATACTCTCCGTGTGGTTGTAGCTGTTATTTCTCGCATCACGTGTGGCTGAGCAATACAAACTCAACTATTAAAATTGTGGATTTGTTTCGGTTCGCTGAATAATAATAATATCTGTATTTACACCCCGCTGGATTCAATACAAGAATGTATGCTCAAAGCGCTACGTATGAAGCTGATTGGGATGCTACAAGACCAAAAACATTTGTACATAAAATCCTTGCATCCTTTGAGGATATGTTTGTTAGTCAGTGTAGTATTTTCTAAAGAGAAGTGTTTTTAAGGCACATTTGAAGGAATCAAGGGATGTTGTTTGTCTGAGTTCGAGTGGCAGCTGGTTCCATAGTGTTGGGGCTAAAAGAGTGAGTAAGTGAGTTTAGTTTTACGCCGCACTCAGCAATATTCCAGCTATATGGTGGCGGTCTGTAAATAATCGAGTCTGGACCAGACAATCCCGTGATCAACAGCATGAGCATCGATTTGCGCAATTGGGAACCGATGACATGTGTCAACCAAGTCAGCGAGCCTGACCACCCGATCCCGTTAGTCGCCTCTTACGACAAGCATAGTCGCCTTTTGTGGCAAGCATGGGTTGCTGAAGACCTATTCTAACCCGGATCTTCACGGGTCCATAACTAAAAGAGCGGAAACCAAAGGCTTTTAGTTTACGTCTTGGGATGACCAATAGATGTTGATCAGCTGATCGTAAGTCTTTTGGTGGAACATATTTGGTTACAAACTCATTGAGGTAGTCGGGAGCAGTTTCATGATAGCACTGGTAGGCTAGACTCAGGATTGTATACTCCAATATGGAAGAAGGCAATTGACCTGCACAATGCACGAATGGAGCATTTTCTTGTCAAAGAAAACGAGTGTACAGAACGATAACCAATATCATGTCTTCACTGATACATACTATGCACATTCACGTGTACCAAGTCTCAATCGATCCGGTGAACATCAGTGTCTTCACGAACCTCTGCAGCTACATGCATACATGTTGTATTCAACAGCTTCCTGTCCTGACGGAGACGAGTGTCGTGACGTGGGGTATGAGAGACGGGTAGATCCCTGCATTACTCTGAAATGTCAGGTACCCGGGGAGCCACTACAGGAAATCAAACAGGGTATACTGTACCTCTCATCGACGTGATTGTTTTCATTGACAGTGTGCACATTCATGAAAACCATATCTTCCCACTATGTCTTCACTGACACTGTGTACATCCATGTATACCATGTCTTCATTGAAACTGTGTACCTCTATGTATACCATGTCTTCCCACTGTGTACATCTATGTATACCATGTCTTCCCACTGTGTATATCTATGTATACCATGTCTTCCCACTGTGTACATCCATGTATACCATGTCTTCCCACTGTGTATATCTATGTATACCATGTCTTCCCACTGTGTACATCTATGTATACCATGTCTTCATTGAAACTGTGTACCTCTATGTATACCATGTCTTCCCACTGTGTACATCCATGTATACCATGTCTTCACTGACACTGTGTACATCCATGTATACCATGTCTTCATTGAAACTGTGTACATCTATGGATACCATATGTCTCCACTGACACTATGTACATCTATGTATACCATGTCTTCACTGACACTATGTACATCCATGTATATTATGTCTCACTGAATTTATGCACATCTATCTATGCCCTCTCTTCAAAAGAGCAAAATTTAATTACCCTATTGAGCCTTTTTTGAAATCGATGCCTTCATCGACTCGTCCTGTGCATTTAGGAGCCTGCCCTGACGGAGACGTGTGTCGTGATGTGGGGTATGAGAGACAGGTAGATGCCTGCACTACTCTAAAGTGTCGGGTACCCGGGGAGCCACTCCAGGAAATCAAACAGGGTAGGCTGAACCTATCATCCAGGGAATGTTTCTTCTTCAGATTCGTACAGGTCCTTTACTATGATGATTGGACAATGTTATCGATTCTGTCGTACAGGTCCCAATAAATGCAAATTTTCATGACTCTGGAAAAGCGTTATATCCATTTTTAATATAAATATTATCCATTTGATAATTGTAACACGTTGCTCAACGATTTTAGGGATTGATCGATTGATCGATCGATTGATTGATTGAATGATTGATTGTGTGAATCAGCATAAGCGAGCTGAATGAGTAATTCTGTAGTTCTGCAACATTACTGAGAGTTGATGCTAAATGCATTATATGTTCTGTTTGTAATTTAATTATCCATGTTCACGGTTCCAGATTGCCCATCAGTTGTACCAGGTAAGTGACTTCAAGCTTACTCCGACAATGATGTGACTATAGTCACACGCTGAAATATCACCTACATTGCAATACAGAAGTTGTATATCTACAAAAAAGTCTTCCTCTTCATCATACCAGCTTCTAAATGCAACTTAAAGAAGTAATTTAGCCACACGCTTTCATTCTTCATACTTACAGCAGTTTGCGATTGTAAAACCGAAGACGGGACTTGCAAAGCCAAGGGAGATAACTACAGCAATGACTGCGGAACAGCTGTTTGTTCTGATATCGGCGGTGGCAAACACGCGTTCAAACCCGGGTCTGGAATGAACTCGCAAGGTAGCGTGGAAGAATACCTTTTACCACAAATCAATTATGTTTTATCTTCCAAACAATGAAATTTGATAACTCCCGTTCAACATTTGAAATATTTTTAAAGGGTTAATTCACTTGTCACGATAAAGCAAAACAGAACTATATCTGACTGTTTTTGACTTAAAATAATACGCAGATTGAGTTTTCTTTATGTACGCGTTTTTTGAAGGTGAAAACATACCTAAGACAAATCGAATGACCTTTTTATTGTTTATTATATCTTTCCTGGTCAGTTGCGGGCAGTGGGGTAGCCCAGTGGTTAAAGTGTTCGCTCGTCACGCCGAAGGCCCGGGTTCGATTCCCCACATGGGTACAATGTGTTAAGCCCATTTCTGGTGTCCCCAGCCGTGATATTGCTAAAACCCAACTCACATACTCATTACACATAATGCATATACGAGTGCATAATACGATGATGTCGTTGTAGACTGCACGACTCCGGAGGGCGTCTGTATCCGCAGCTTCAGACCGCCCCACTTGAACGTCAACACCTGCAAGAAATACATATGTATCCGAGGTTCGGTTAAACCACCACAAACATGTGAGTACAGATACATGTAGTTAACGGAATTAACCGAGCGAACCCGAATGCACTGAAAGGTATGTGGACATTCTTGACGAACCAAATCATTCCTGTGATATTTTCTTTCCCCCTTGCTCAAACGGCCAGGGCAAATGAAATAAGACACTTAACCTGTTCCAATGAATCTGATTTTCTAGCCTGCAATGACAAAGACGTTGCATAGTAGGCTTCATTTGTTGAATATGCTGTGACAAAGGCTAAAAATCTCGCCTGCAGTGATTATGAAGTTGTACATCAAGGTTAAGATTTTATTTGTATGTGGTTCGAAATGCTGAAATTCTCTCCCGCATAACTATGAAGTTGTACACGAACCTACAGCAATGTTGTTTTGTAATAAGGTTGATATTCTCGCCTTCATTAACAATGATGTCGTACATGTTTTTGATTACGTGGATATCAGTGATCATGAGATGTACATCAATATTTCATATGTTGTTAATTGATCTGATGTTCAGACTCTCAGCTTCTATGATACTGTGTAATACTGGTAATATAACTTGCATAAATATTGGTCTTTCTTATGTTGTTAATGAGGCTAATATTCTCGCCTGCAGTGACTATGATGTTGTACAGTAGGGTATAGCAACGTTGTGTATGTTGTTAATGAGGCTGATATTTTCGCCTGCAGTGTGTTACAAGGATGGTCAATGTCAAGCTAATGTACAACCGGAGACGATGAATGGCGAGGATTGCTCCTGCAGAGTGAACCTGGGCAACGGCCGAGAGGAATGGGGGTGTGGACCATTTAAATAGTCAGGAACTGAATTCTGTCACTAGGCACTGATGAGCAATATTTGAAGAAAGGATTGTTGAATAGTAACAATTTCCTGCCTGAACTCTTTAATATGCTAGTGTGTGTACTTGAGTACGTAAATGCCAAGGTTTCTTTTGGCTATGACTAGAAATAAACATGCAGACATCGTTCGATACTTTATTTTGTTCTTGGGTTTGCTGAGGAAAACAGAACCACGAATAAAAATGAAATGATTTTTAATATAGAGTTAAGACTCGTATGTTGTACCAAAGATACACTACAAAATCCATTACGTGGAATTATAACACATGTTATGTCTGCACTGTATAAATTCAACACACATATTTCTAAGGATGGCAGAGTGTTTAACGCTGCATCAGCAGTCTGTATGTATTCGCGGTCGTTTTTCCCCAGGTATAATGTAAAATGAAGTAAAACGAAGATGGGGTGCCCTTGTTATCCTGCAAATTATATAGTGCCAATATCCAGATCACCTGCTCAAAGGCGCTTTGTTTCTTGGATGTCAGTCTCAAAAGGGCACAATGTATTATCAATCTCAACTCCATGCGGAGCATACAACTCTTGCAGCCACTAGGCGCACCGAGTTAATGTGACTTTCCCATCCTTACGAGGTACCCATTCACAGCTGGGTGGACTGGGACACATAGTCATAGTACTTTGTCCAAGGGGTTCTCTTTATCTTTTGGTTGGTTGCTGTTTTACGCCGCACTTATCAATATTCCAGCTATATGGAGGCGGTCTGTAGCCAGACAATCCAGTGATCAACAACATGGGCATTGATCTTCGCAATTGGGATACAATCCCATGTGTCAACCAAGTCAGCAAACCTGACCAACCGATCTGTTACGACAAGCATGGGCTGTTGAAGATCAATTCTAACCCGGATCTTCACGGGTCCCTGACTGACTGACTGACTGACTGACTGAGTTTGGTTTTACGCCGCTTTTAGCAATATTCCAGCAATATCACGGCGGGGGACACCAGAAATGGGCTTCACTCATTGTACCCATGTGGGGATTCGAACCCGGGTCTTCGGCGTGACGAGCCAACGCTTTAACCACTAGACTACCACACCGCCCCCACGGGTCTCTGAAATGTGACACAATACCTTGATCCTTCATAAAATCACGGTTATTTTTTATGCTTGCAGTGCAGCCGATCAACATGTATTTATGATATTTAATAACTGTTTGATTTGATGGAATGTGGAAAGGCTACGAAAATGCTTTACTATGAATATAATGCTTTAGGTATCACTGAACTTACGTGCGTCTTCACATCAATGTACATTGCGTGTGCGATGTGCTTGTGTGATCTCTTATTTGGCATTATATTATTACTTCCCCCAATTATCCACGGGGTAGTGGAATCATGGAAATGAGAGACGTTATCTGTACAATGTAATAATGCAATGATACGTCTCCAGATAAGCTGCGCGCGATTGCTTAAAATAAGAAACTACATCTGAAAACAAGCATAACTCGCTTCACTTTGAGTTACTTGCAGACAGATACTCATGAAGAAATTGAATAAGCAAAAAAAACAAAAAAACAACAACAAAAAAACGACAACAAACAAATAAGCAAAAACAACCCCACCCCAAAAAAACACAACAAACAACAACAACAAAAACCAAACAAAACCCGCTGTGCATAAATACCCATTAGTATTTAGGGTAACACATGCCAAATCAAAGAGTTGAGTGCCATTGTAATTGCTTTCAAGACCATATATAGGCATGAATGCTCAGTCAAACCGAAAGAAATATACTCATGCCAATAATGGTTGTCATGTAAAGCATGAAGTGTTGGTTTTATTTGTTGCTTAACGCCGCAATTCCATCTACAAATGTACATAGAGGCGGAAATATTAAGTGCTTACATTTGTGGACAACTCAAAGATTTTCCTTGATAATGATTATGAGAACAATTTGCTTGTACCATAACGTTCCTAAAAATACGCAGGCATCCGTTTTAGCAAAATCTGAAATGACATTCACATAAGACTTATATATAATATGGCACATGCCATTATGAGCATTGATTATGATAGTATTGCTTACGATCGCACAAGTAAATGAGAACACGTAAGTTCCCTCTGGGTTTGCTTAAGAGAAATTCTAAAATTATGCCTTTTAATTTCTTTGGAATATACCAATATACAGCCTGAGAAGAATTCCAGCCAACAAACCTGATCTTGTCCTCTTTGATAGAGCCAATGATTTTTTTTGTCCCTTTTGGGAGCAACGTGACTGGCAAGATTAAGGAAAAAGCATGCTAAACATGCGGACCTCGCCTTTGAAATGTCTCGCTTGCATCCCTAGTGCACTGTCGTCAGACTCCCCATTGTTGTCGGTGCCCTTGGTTTGGTACCTCCTAATCTCTTGGCGCAGATCAGGAGAGCGCAACACTCTGGGTAATGCAGAAGGCTGCAGTGTTGGGGAGTCATACATATTCTCCGGGCAGTTCTTGGTTGGTCCGACTAGGCAATCCCATTCGTTGTTTGGGCTGCGTGTAGAGGGGGCAAGGGCCCTGAACTCTACCAGCCTGACTGTGCCAGGATCACCCGAACCCTCTCTGCTGCAAACTAGGACATTTATAATGCGCTGCAATAAAATTCAGAGGGTTATATACATGTATGCCAAAAATACATTATAGGTGTGAAACGTCTTTCACAGGTGTTTTGAAACAGATATCTGTTCTCCAGTTTAACTTTTAAAATCCTGTAATTCAATATTACAGATTTTGACTTATTACTTCCTTCCGTCATGTTGCCCGCTCATAATTACAAACTATATCAATATGAAACACTCATATCAGGCAAGAGCTAAACATATTCCTTTTGCTAACAAGACATGTTAGAAAGAGCTACTGCATTCTAAATTAAGAGTCAGATATGTTTGAATGAAGGCAGTCTCTTTTCTGGAGTGTTATATATAAATTCGTCGGTATCCATGTATGAACACTGTATATGTATGTATAAGACACGAGCTCAACTGGAGCCTTTTCAAAGATTAAGGATTGGAGAGTATGCTTTCAATCCGTTATATTTTGAAGGCAACAAATCTGATTTATCTTCAAGTATATATAACATTCTGTATTGTTACACATAAATCGTTAGACGTTTGTTTCTTGAAAACGTTTAGTGTGCTTCAACTGTGCTATTGACAAAATGCATGGAAACTCGTCGCTATTATGATACAAGAGTGAGTGAGTGAGGTTTAAGGCCACTTTGAACAGCATTTCCAGCTTTAACACCTCTGTCACCTTAGACTCGTGAAGATCCGGGTTACAACTGATCTTCAGTAACCCATGCTTGTCGTAAGAGGCGACTAACAGGATCGGGTGGTCAGGCATGCTGATTTACTTCGTGCAACGTTGATATTTGCTGCCACCTCCCCCCCATGCCTCATTTTTCATTCGAGATGTTACTCCCGGTCCAAACTTGCCCTTGATAATTGACTTTCGCTCATCAACAAGTCGGACCAACAACAATGACTGGTCAGATGTCCAATTTGGCTTGCGTTTCATGGAAACAATGTGTGATGAATCCATCGCGCGAAGTTTTCACAGATGTTAGATTCACGTGTGCTTGTTTACATCATGTGACAGTCACATGGTATAAAGTTTCGCCTCCAAACCGGAAGAGTGCTTTAAAATCTACATATAGCACAGGGAATCCCCTGGTTACGACCAATGTCGGCTCTAAGAGTTACGCTCAGAGTTTCCTTTTGCTCTTAGCTAAAAGTTACTCTCAGAGCCATTGTAACTGCACTTTTAATCACTCTTAGCTAAGAATTTTCTTAGCGACATAAGAGTAGTCTTACAAATTGTCTGATAATTTTTATAAATACGGCCCAAGGTGTTCGCGAAAAGGGTAAGCATGTCCTGCTACATCGGTAGCATGCGTCATTCACACAATTTGCATGTAGGGTTCAAAACTGTTTAAGTGTGAACGATCCGGGTTAGAATGAACTTTCAGTAACCCATGCTTGTCGTAAGAGGCGACTAACAGGATCGGGTGGTCAGGCATGCTGATTTACTTCATGCAGCGTTGATATTTGCTGCCACCTCCCGCCATGCCTCCTTTTTCATTCGAGATGTTACTCCCGGTCCAAACTTGTCCTTGATAATTGACTTTCGCTCTTCAACAAGTCGGGCCAACAGCAGTGTCTGGTCAGATGTCCAATTTGGCTTCCGTTTCATCGAAACACTGTGTGATGAATCCATCGCGCGAAGTTTTTTGACGGATGTTAGATTCACGTGTGCTTGTTTACATCATGTGACAGTCACATGGTATAAAGTTTCGCCTCCAAACCGGAAGAGTGCTTTAAAATCTACATATAGCACAGGGAATCCCCTGGTTACGACCAATGTCGGCTCTAAGAGTTACGCTCAGAGTTTCCTTTTGCTCTTAGCTAAAAGTTACTCTCAGAGCCATTGTAACTGCACTTTTAATCACTCTTAGCTAAGAATTTTCTTAGCGACATAAGAGTAGTCTTACAAATTGTCTGATAATTTTTATAAATACGGCCCAAGGTGTTCGCGAAAAGGGTAAGCATGTCCTGCTACATCGGTAGCATGCGTCATTCACACAATTTGCATGTAGGGTTCAAAACTGTTTAAGTGTGAACGATCCGGGTTAGAATGAACTTTCAGTAACCCATGCTTGTAAGAGGCGACTAACGGGATCGGGTGGTCAGGCTCGCTGACTTGGTTGACACATGTCATCGTATCCCTGTTGCATAGATGGATGCTCATGTTGTTGATCACTGGATTACCTGGTCCAGGCTAATTAATTTACAGACCGCCGCCATATAACTGGAATATTGCTGAGAGTGGCGTAAAACTAAACTAGCTCTGTGACTTTAATGTGGTGGTCTCAGACGTTACTACCGTGGTGAAATGAATGATTTATGGTGCTAAAAAACATATCCAGGGCCCCGTTCCTCAAAGCTATCGTAGCGCTACGACTGTCGTAAGCCTATGTTAAAGTATGGGAGTTACGATCATCTTATGGCTACGATCACTTTGAGGAACAGGGCCAAGGGCGAACTGAGATTCGAACCCACAATCTGTGCTTTCTGGCATTACCAAGGGGCGTGACCTTGCACAGCAAATTTCGCCGTACTGGACGGTTCGGCCACCCATGCCCCTAAAATATGAGTGTGTGAGTGAGTGAGTTAGGTTTTACGCTGCTTCAATATTCCAGCAATATCA